TTTTTTTTTCTGTGTTCAGTGAGGGCTCACTGTCGCGTGTGGTTACAGGTAAGGGCTTTATAAATAACATCGACTTGTTTTATGCGTAACAATGATTTTAATAAGTGTTTAATGAGCTGTCTTCGATGTCGTCTCATTGATTTTTTCAGTCAGTGACACTAAATGTGCTTTTATTACACGCAGTCACCAACGCACGTGGAAAAAGCTGGACATACATTGAGTCTACTTGTTATCATCTCGTATGTTTTATACTTATTATTAGTTTGATATGCTTTGAATGATATATAATGCCACAGCGTTAACATAATCTGGGTTAGGGTGTCTTTAATCATCTGTTATGTATGCCCCCATATAGTCAAGTATCATAGCATTTAAAATTCCAGGCCTAAAAAAGTCAAGTTAATGAAATCGTAAAATATCATGGAATTGTTTTAGTTTTTCAGCTATGCTCAGTTATGAAATATAGTTTGAAGTTGGTCTTTGTGAGTGCATGTTTTTAATTTTAAAAACCACAAACTAAATTCATTGGTAGGAACTCTGATTTATATAATATAATTTTGAATAATATATCATTATGTTTTCAGTCTGTTCATACAATGGCTGATGATGGTCCAGCAGAGGCTTATCCCACTGAAATTGAGGAAAACCTGAATGATTTTGATTCCTCTTTGATCTCTGTCCAGAATATGGTCCAAACGCTTGTGTCCGTATCCAGAAGTCACAATCTGCTGAAAGTATGTGAAAGCAAATGCACAAATGAGCAGTTATATGAACATTATCACATATGAATGGCTTATTTTTTTAAATATTTTTGTACCTCATTTAAGCTGGATCCTCTTGATCGAGCTAAATTGGATCTGATGTCTGCATATGCCCTCAACTCAATGTTCTGGAGTAAGATTTACACCTTCATGGTTTGCTTTCACGTCATGTGTAATGAAAGTTAACAGGTTATGACAAGATTTAACTTTCCCTCTCAGTGTATCTGGTGACACAAGGAGTCAATCCGAAAGACCATGCGATTAAACAAGAACTGGTAAGATAAATTTGTCATTTTACTTATGTTTTAGGTTTAATTTAAGTAAAAATTCATCCGCAGCATTTGTGACAATGTGGATTACCACAGTAAATAATTGCCTGTACTTTATTTATTATATATTTTTTCTATAATATTACATTTTTGCACAACACTGGTCACAAATGGTGATCACGGTCATGAAAACTGTTCAAATATTGGATATAATTTTGCACAGACTAGGTGCAAAGTAATTTTTAATCACTAGTTTCATAGCGTCTTTTTTCTGTGATAATCCACTTTATGCCACAAATTCAGTCTATAGAGCTCAACTTAAATTTAAACTAGAACTTTTTTTTTTATTATACGGGGCATGTATTAAATCTGTGAACAGAAATACCGTATGTGAAGGTAAATTGCATTGTTTATGAAGGATGGTTTACTGTTTTTATTGACTAGTTGAGAAGGGAACTAACATCCCCCTTCACCTCACAGGATAGGATCAGGACATACATGAACAAAGTCAAACAGATCACAGACAAAAGAAAAGCTGCACGTCTGGACAAAGATGCAGCATCGCGGTTTGTTCGGAATGCATTGTGGGATGCAGAGGACAAGAAAAGAAAAGACTCAACTGAGCATCCCCACAGAGGAAAACACATACGGTTTTCTTGATTGAATTGACTGGTGAAACATTGAAGTTTTCCTGCAGATATTTAGCAGACTTTGGTATTAAGCACAACAACTATCTGTCATTTGCCTGGTGACGTGTTATGATGCTGTGTTGAGTAGCATCATTCTTTTCAAGATCGTGACCAGTTTCAAACTGAAGAAGAAACCCAATATAAGTTACAGGTCTTTGTATTTGTTTTAAATTTTTTATTGTTTTATTCAGTTGCATTTGAAGAGAATGTTATGTTTTTTCTTTTGAGTCTTGAGTATGTTTTATATCGGCGGTTACATAATCTGAAATGTGGACCGTTCATAATACCAGTCCCATTAAAACTAGTAAATCCTCTCTGTCTTGTCAGTTCATTTGCAAGTATTGCTGTCTTATGATTCATCATTGTTAGAAGGAGATGAAATGTGGCTTTCCTAATCCAGACCGAATCCAGTTACAGGGATTCTTTTTTTCTTAGAAAAAAATTACAGTGAAATGTATAGTTGGCCTGTTTAACAAGTGAAGGACAACTTTCTTAAAGGGATACTCCACCCCAAAATGAAAATTTTGTCATTAATCACTTACTCCCATGTCGTTCCAAACCCGTAAAAGCTTCGTTCGTCTTCGGAATAAAATTTAAGATATTTTGGATGAAAACCGGGGGGCTTGTGACTGTCCCATTGACTGACAAGTAAATTACACTGTCGAGGTCCAGAGAAGTATGAAAGACATCGTCAGAATAGTCCATCTGCCATCAGTGGTTCAACCGTAACGT